GTACATTTTGGTCAAAGAAGGTCAAATTTGGTGTTTTGTACAAATTCAATTTTATTTACACACATTTACAGGAGAAGTCAGTGCCACACAGAGGCGCTACTGAGTGCTTCTGACAGGAGACAGTTCCATTGTACTCTTATCTATATTTTTTCTATCACTGCATCATCAATTAGCATCAACTAGTGTAAATTTTGAGCTATTACAGGTAAAACATACAGTTTACACATTATTTGAAACAGTTCAAGTTAATATGGAGATCCACTGTTTAACAGTAGATATGAAAGTCAGAATTTAAACACAGTTCAGAAGTACCGTACTGCACTTATTTACTGTTAAAAACAGCTAAAAACTCATCTTTTTAAACTTGCTTTTGGTTGATTTTTAGGTTTTAGCTTCTGTGAAGCACTTTGAGATTTTTATCTTGAAAGGTGCTATACAAATAAAACTTTACTTACTTACTTACTTAAATTTGTTTATTTAAAGTGATTTATAAAGAGAAAGTGTCATTTGATGTTAATAGAAATAGTCAGAGATATAAACTAAGAAAAGTGGTATACTTTAACAATTTAAAGAGAGTATGTAACCTAAAAAGTCACAAAATACAGGAGAATGTGCCTGTGAGATAAAAAACTAACTTTGTTTTGTTCCAGCGGAGGATGTCAAGTGACATCAGCCCCAGTCTGGTTAACTGGATGACCAGCATGATGACGATGAGACTGCAGGTGATTCTGGAGCACATCCCTATCACACAGGAGCAGATCCAGAGCTACATAGTTCACACACAGGTAACGCAGCAGACACAAACACACACACACACGCATGCATGTTAAATTTCTAATTCTCAAAATAAAATTGGACGTGATGGTAATACAAGGAAAGCAAATCCCCCTGCCTCACCTGCATGATGCAGCCGCTCAAGCTTCAGGCTGTTTTTGTAGTGTGTGTTTAGAGTTGTGTAACTGTAAATCTGTAAATAATTTTTTGTGACTCACAGCAAACAAAAACCTGCAGTTACAGATAAATCTTTGCACGTTGCGACATATGTGTGCAGATCAGTACAAATTTCATGTAAGAAGACAGCCTGACTGAGCTATTACCAAACACGATATGAAAGATGGACACGGACACTGTGGTCATTGTGAAGTCATTGTGTAGAAGCCTCAAGCAGAGCATCTGCTGCTGTGTGTGTGACAAGCGAGGAGTGTATCTGATACATAAACCGCACACCTGCACAGTAGCAGCTCATCACCCTCGTCTTTAACTTTCATTTGGACTGTACAAAGTGATCATCATGTTGTAATAGAACCATGAAGTCATCAGAGGTCATAGACTTCACTGGATGCTCGCCCGCCCCCTGCTGGCCATGAGAAACAGTGCAGGCTTACTAAGATAATTAATGGCCTTTAACATCAAAAACATAACCATCTAAGTACAACATGAAACAAAACTGTGCAGCTAAATAGTTAAAATAACTTAAAATCTTTTTAAGAGACTCTTCTGATATTAATAAAATCTTTCCAAGTGACATGAAGCAGATACTGACAAAGCAGGTC